ATTTTGATGAATTTTGCATAATTCTGCAGGAGTTGGGCATGACAGTGAATGAGATGGTGGATGACTACTTGGAGGAGCAACTCCCTGCGATATGGTCGTGTTGGGTGTACCAACCTCGACCTGTCCACTGATATTCTAATATGTTCTTATAAGAAGGAGATCGTGATGAGGATCCTGTTATAACCTTGCCAGATTTCGTGAGAACGACATCGGAGCCGATGAAGGAAGTCGTTCATCGGGTCTTTCGAAGGGATAAGTGGTGGAACCATTGCTTGCCATGGATCCAAGCCATGCCACATCAGACACGGGAAGAGACCCACGTGGAACCTGAGAATGGACAGGAAGACTATAGCTTCCTCAAACCAACAGTTTTCGGGTTCCATGGATTCCATGTGAGCAACCGCGTACATTTGGCATTGTAGAATAGTATGCAAATTAATATACTAAAATAAAGGTCATCGCTCATGGCTCATGTGGGTCTCTTCCAGGGTTCAGTTAAAGGGAGTGATCCACGGGCACAATTTGCCTTTGCTGCAACCAGGTTGCCTTGGCCGCTCCAACCATCCATGCAACCTTCTAAAAGGCCGCTCCCCCCACGATCTACTGTCCATACCTGTCCTGGATCCGATGGGCGACCTGGTTCGACCGCCCACGCAGCGCCGGCGCCGAACGTCGACGGCCAGGACGCAGAGTTTTCACCTGAGCAGGCGCAGAGGGGGTCCTCCTCGAGGATCAGATGTTTGTGGGGGGGGCCTGGGGCTGAAGGGAGGGGCCTGGATTTTTCTAGGTCTTATAGTGTCATTTGAATGAGTGTTCGTTGAAATGGCTGGCTGTTTCAGCGGTTTTCCTCCAGGTGATAGTATAATTAGCGGCGTATATATAGGTGTTTTGTTTTGGTTGCTCGATGCGTGGTTGGTTCATGTACCTTGTTTCCCTCTTTTTGTTGATCAGCGGCTTGGCCGCTCGCAGGTGTTGCAGCTGCTACATGAGCAAGAGACTGCGGCTGCCAATCACTTGGCATCCCGAATGTTTAAGACATGAGCCGAATGCTGAAACTTAACTTCCTGATGAGAATCATCGGGAGAGTTGAGATCGACAGCAGAATTGGGTCATATCCAGTTGGATGGTCGCATCCAGTCGCAGTTGGGATATTGCATCAAAGGATGAGAGTTGAAGAGTTGCCAATTCTGCTCAATTCTGACGTCGGTAATTTTAAGTTGCGAAGTTGTACAGGAAGGTATTAGCAAATATTATAGCAATACCTAATTAAGGGACGTTGCTTTTAAGTTCAAGCTCATCATGAGTTTTGCGCTTGGCATACCAGCAGGGGTGCTTCTCGCCCACCCCCTTTGGCGAGAAGGGGAGTTAGCAGTTCCAGCTGCCCGAGAAGATGGGCCCGTGCCCCGCTGTTGCAATGTCTCGTGCTTGGGGTCAAGATGGTCACCCCAGAGGGCAGTAGATGGGAACGATGGTGATGAATCGGATCTGTCTTTTGTTGCTTTCAACGTATCTTTTTGCTTCAGAATGGGAAGCCCATGCCTGCAATTGATCCAGAAGTCTGTCACCACAACAAATTTCCAAAGGAAAGACCCGATTGAAAGAGGTGGCTTTTCAGAAAGGAGGGACCTAGTTTTTGGCCACACCTGTAGATGTCTTATGATGTTTTTCTTAAACGCAGATCCTTGCACAGAAGATTATGAAGATCTAGCCATGGGTCCTTTACACGTATTCTGTGTTCTTATCTCAAGTGATCCGTGATGATCTATGTGCTTGTCATTTGCACAGGAATGAATTGAAGCTGGTCACCACGCCCTCTGAACGTGGCTGGGCTGCGGTGTAAGCCTTGGCTCGGAACCCTTGAGAGTGGAAGGCGCTGACAGGTGGCGAGCTTCACAGGAGCCAAAGACCGGATGGGTTGGTGCACAGTCCAGATGAGTTGGTCTCGCAGTCCAGAGCTCATCATCTCATTATGCAGACAATCGTCCAAGGACTGGATGGGATGGGAAAGAATGCGGTAGAACAACGCACCACCTCTAAGAGGCGTTTGTTCTACCAGTTTTTGAGTTGGAAGTTGCGAAGAATTGCGTAGATCTCTGTCTTGCCTTCTGCCCGAAATCCACTCATGCCTTGCACGGCCAGCCTCTTTTCGAGGCATTTTCTGAAGTTTGAAGCCCTGCGCTTCTGTCACGGGATCGAGACTTGATCAAACGAAGCCGCCATAGAACCCGCCATAGGGACCTCCATTGGCTTCATAAGCCGCTCGACTTATTTGGATACCTCTGAACTTTTGGACCAGTTTCTCGTCTCTGGGGCCCCGGGTGACACCATGAATTCGCTTCGACCGGGAGAACCGATACGATCGTCCCCCCGAAGCCATCCGCCCGGTTCCGCACGTATCGTCCTACTGCGGGTGCACCGTGGGTGAACGGTTCCGACGACGTGGTGAGTGAACCACGTCTCGGGAGAAGGAAGCTGTGGTTTGAGTTGGAATCACTGGTTCGGTTAGTGGTACTATAGTGGTAAGATGTGAGCCTTCAAACATGTATTGAATGTTTTGTGGCCCAACTCCCTAGCAAAGGCATGACGATCCAAGATCCCAGTGGCACCAGTGGCCAGTTTTGCTCGTCATGACCTCGGGGAAGCAGCTGGAAAGCTAGCAACGATCACCAGCCTGCATGCACTTTCCTTCTCACAGCCTCCATGGACCATCAGCGGGTGCTGGATGGTGCTGGTTGGATGATATCAGTGATATCAGGTGAAGTAAATCACCATGGTAAGAACATCTTTGGTCACTTCTTCACTTGGGGGTCCGACAGAGTATTGTGTGCCATGACTCAATGACCCACCGGATTCCATGGGTCAATGGTGGAGGCGACTGTACGCTACGCACTTGCTCTTATGAGTGGGGCTGCGGGTTGATGGTCCTTCTCCAGGTTTTCGTTTGGTGCAGGTGTCCCTGGCTCAATTTGTTTCAATCGACTAGGAAGATGGAACACCAGTGGGAATAGTATAACTCCCATAAACTCCCTTGGCTTACAGTCAAAAAAGCATATAGAATTGAATTAGGCCCTAATATATTACGTAAGGGTGCTGGCGATACATGTTTCCTGATTTGCACCCGGAGATTCAGGGTATGGGAAGTTCACTCCCGATCAGTCCTCAGGTGCTAGGAATTTGACATTGAAGAATGTGATCGTTGTGTCATTTGTTGTTTGCTTTGCCACTGCCCCTTGTGCTGACACCATTGCGGTGTCTCAAAAAAACAGCGGATGGTAGACAGCGGATCTGGGGAAGATCATTGAGACACCGACAACGAGTGAACCGACGGCCACGTCCGATGCTGCGCGTCGCCGAAGCTTTTCCCACGACTTCGGGTCGTGTATCTCGGATCGGGTACGTTCGTTGCACTTCAAAGTCCCGCGAATGAGTTGTTGACCTAGGTCAATTGATTTGTTGAATGACTCACCTCCTTACCATTCAAGCAGGAGTTGTCATTGTCAGGAGATTAAAGGAGCTATATAACGAGCCTTTCTGTGTTTGTTTTGGAGGCATCTTTCGATAAGCCCATAAGCCCTATCAAGATGCATTTGTCCCTGGAAGCCTCAAAAACGGGACCTTCAAAAAGGACCACACTTTGGGCGTTGCTCGCTCCTTCTAAGCTCCAGCAAGTGACTGGAAGGCCAGAGCCTGCTCAGATAACAAGAGAAACATTTCGACCCTCTCCCACCACAAGAGTAACTGCCAAACATCCCCACGCACCCTGTGTCCACAACACTTGGAATCAGAGTTTTGCTTGAAGGTTCTCCTGTTGTCCATCTCATTCCACCCAGAACATGAATGAGGATTTCTTAGACCGTCCTGTCCATCCATGTCGGAGCCAGGCTCGCTTCGTCGGACCTCCCGAGCATGGCCAGCATGGCCAAGTCGGTGGGCCGGACACACATTGCTTCAACCTGCCTGAGGCAGCTCGATCGGCAGCGGCGAAACCCGCTTTGCGTTCCCCACTTCAGATGAACAGGGCTGTGGCTGCAGCCAATCTGAGGTGGAAAAAGCTGCGTGATGTTGCGTGAAAGAGAGTTAGAGAGAGAGAGGGGGAGAGGGAGAGAGAGAGGTTTTGTGTGTGGTTTTGTGATGTTGTGGTGTCTTGGAGCGGAGCTGAGTGTTAGGCATGGCCTGCAAAGGTTTTTTGTATTGCCACAGCTTTTGGCCTAAGCTGAACATAGTCATCATTGCTCAGGTTCCCACCCAACAGAGTGATAGACCTTTGACGAGCATCATCCTGACAGCACAAGCATCGCTTGGTGGATTGTTTGGTTACTCGCCTGCGGATGCATCCATGAGCGGCTGAACGGCCTTGCCACGTCAGGCATGAGTGGGACCTGACCGGCCTCAGGGTATCGTTGACCGGCAAATGCGGCGAGATCATGTTGGCTTTCATGATTGGCACCTGGTTGAAACCATAAGTGAATATATTCCCTACAAGTCAAAGACCTCATTTTACTGGGGATGGTCACACAAAACCAATACTTAAGGAGGTAAACGACCAGGTTTTACTGGGTCAGACTGGACTTGTAGGGATTGATATCTATTGATTTAACACATTCCAAGCTTGGAGACTGTAACTTCCGCGGCTCAGTGCAAGTCTTACCAGATGGGCAGAAATCGCCCGCTGAAATCCAGACCTGTCCAAGTCACCGTTTGTCAAACCCAAGCAGCGCGTTTGCAGCACAATCGCATGGATGGAGGTGAAGAGGTTGTCATCCCGAAGAACCTCCCAAACAATGGAGGATGCATCGCCATGGTATCCCATGGCATGACCCATGGTATCCCATGGCGTCCGAGGTTTGCAAGGGCGGTGAAACACTGTAAGATGTGTGGTGCTCAATGGACACAAGAGTCGTTAAGATCCTTGACGTCTTCCTCCCTGGAAGTCCAAGACTATATAAAGAAAGGTCTTCAGGTGACCTGAAAAGAACGTTCCTTTATACTTCAGTCGGTCAAAAAAAACGTCGATCTGGACTTGATTTAATCGAAATGCCACTTTGATGCCATGAATCCTGTGACTCGTGCTGGTCCTTGGTGTTTGCACCACGGCTGGCGGCGCTGCCTGCTGTTGGGCGAAGAGGGTCCAGCACTGCAGCAACTTCTCCAGAGCCTCGGAGCACATAGACTCTAGACTCTCAAAGGAGCATCTAAAGAAACATAGATGGCATAGAGTATGGCATAGCCTTGATCCTGCGGAAAGGCTGTGTTTTTGAGCGTTTGCAGTATACGGTATACGCATATATAATTTTTAAGCGTTGCTAAGAGCTTGGATTGCTTTGCGAATCGATGAATTCTATAACAGAAGGGAACAAAAACATCAATGACATTTCCCGTGCACATGCCACTCGTGGCTACAAGTCCACTTGGACTCCACGAGTGGCGAGTGGCATGCCATGACCCATACGTTTTTCACCTGGCGGTTTTGGGTCTAAGAAAAGGGGCAGAACTCATTCCGAAGACTTGTGGCCATGTGACCCAAGCAACATAAGGACCTAAGTATGTTGGGGGGGTCCCAAATTGAAGGGCGGAAAGGAACGAACTTGGATTTTGATCCACCTGTCCATGACTTCACGTTTCAGATGATGGGTCCCTTTTGCTTGGAGTGGCAGGTCGTTGCGCGAAGCGAACCTCTCGGTCCAGCTGCTGCAGCCTCCCTTGCAGCGAAGCTTTGGCCCCAAGTTGGTGGATGAGGCAGGTCCAACGGATGGAGAGCGTCCCACGCTCTTGGCTTCTGAAAGAGATGTTTTGCAACACCTGGAGCACCAGAACGCTCCTTATATAATTATTGTTGGTTTTCCTGTGTTGTGTTTTTCAGGTGGTGTGGGATTCTTAAGGTAGGTCACTCAGAGACTCGGAGAAACCGCTGGTGATAAGAAGGCCAAGCGGCTAAGCAACATGCACTTGCCATTGCAAGAGGAAATTCCGTGAAACGTTTTAAAAACTGCAATGATTGTCAACACTATGCCCAGCGTGGTTGATTGAACTATTAGTTCTGCTCATCATTGAGCTGTCAAACCTTCCGGTGGTGGGGCAACACTGAGCGCAGGTGGCTGATGAAGCGCTTGATGCAGAGGCACAGGGGCTTTGATGAAGACTTGTGGGGCTCTTCGCTCCTGGGGTCGAGTGACTTGGAGAAGTCATGGCTCCACGGAGAACTCCGTGCACGCCAAGGTGGTGCTGGCCGTGGGCCGCGGTGCCATGCTGGACTTCGCCAAGGCGGTCGCGTGCATGGTCCCGCTGCGGGGCGCCTCCCCCGGCCGCACGGGCCGCGCGGGCCTGCTGCGAACGGAGCAGTTCTTGCTACAGACAGGTGGCGAGATGAGCCGAGAGGCCGCGACCTTGCTGCCAGGCGAGGAAGACGATGCATTTGGAAGCTGTGAAGAAGTGGCCCAGGTAGGTCTGTACTCCCCCTTCCAACAAGCATGGAAGCGGACATTCTGGCCCCGAAAGGAAAACGATTTGCCTCTAATTACCAAGAGGGGGTTGTCCACTTCCATGATGGCCATTTCAATCTGTACAGCATGCTCGGTTATATAGATCCCTAGACCTCAAGTCAAACACTTTGCCATATGGGAATCACAAAAATCATCATGAGTATCATCATGCATCCCTGGCCTTCAAAGACCATGTCCAAGAAAGGGTGACCTCGTCTTGTAGTCGTCACTCCTTGGTACAACATGGATCGCTCGGTAGAAACCATTAAGGGTTCATTGGGATATCCTATACCATCTATACCAGGGCCCCCGTTTCGGGGTGTCTAATTATAGCTCCTTAGAGGTTACGGTTTATCCACTCACCACCCAAACCGGGGGCCCTTGAGATCTTGAACTGCCCCACTGTGAGTCCAACGCCGTGCTTCCACCATGGCGCTCTGCTTTGGGGCCCCATGGGGCCCGGTGCTGAAACGAAGCTTACTTCATTCACCACACGAATTCGAAGGAATTGGAAGACGCGTTCCTTCGTTTGCCCCCTCCGAGTAGGTCGTAGGTCATCATAGTTCATCGTATTTGACAAGCATGTTCATCATGTTCATCCCATGTTACATCACGATCTATTTTTTTTCACATCATATCCTCCCTCCAACAATCATGAAAGCTGACCAGGACCCCGTTGTAGAGGAAAATGGTCTTCCTTTCGGGCCAGAATGTCCCACGTAACATGATTGTTTCAGGGAGTGTAGCACCTCAGGTGCTTCTCTGCCTCTGCTCCTGGCTCCCAGCCACGCGACCGTGGCAGCGACCAGCGGCCGCTGCTTGCTGCGTGACGCGCCGGGCAAAGCACTGGTGCCGCTGGCGCTGGCGGGGCCAGGGCCCTTTGGCGTGGGGGTGGGTATTCAAGCCACTCAGGCGCCTTGGAGGAAGACGTGGCACGTTGGGTGTGAATCCGAGACATGAGATTCTGGAAAGAGGGATGACATGCCGGCCTTTTAAAGGGTGATTGGTGGAAGCAGAGGCCACAGAAGTGGCAAGACATTGAAATACACCTTTTGAGTGGGTGCCATTTGCCTGTGATTGCCATAATGATAATATACTTGAATGTATGAGATAGTTTTGGCTGAGCTATTGAGGCCACTGGGCTACGGAGTGCAATTTAAAAAAACCGTTAAAACAATAACTACAAATTTACAAAAGGACTTAAACTTAAAACTTATATATAGTCCAATTTAGCCTTCAGAATGCTTTGTTATTTTTTTCAAGACTGCTGCACGTCCGTAAAAAGTGGTGCATGCATGATGTATTATCCAATTGGCCTGTACTGTGCTTTGCAGCCCTGTATTTGACTTGACCCGTTTCCCGTCCCGAGTGCGGCAGCCAGATGCAGCATGATGGCAGAAATCTCTCCGTGCAGCATGACTGCAAAGTTCCGCTCTTCCGACCTACCAATGCTTCAAAGAACAGATTTGCATATAAGGAACAAGAAGCTACTAGGGGCTCCTGGCCTTACTATTTACGAACGGCTCAATAGATGGCACAACCCCCCAAAAGTGATGTCTTCATTGGTGCTGCACTGGAGGCTCTTGGTAGTAGGTCGCTTCTTTCGCACCTCTCCCCCCGATTCCTCTTTGAGGTGCTCGCAGATGTCTCCCTCACGCGGCACCAATCGGCACGAGGGCGAACGGCCGCGGTGGCCCATGCCATGAGCATTTTCGTGGACGGTGCGGCAGCGGCAGGGGGTACCATCAAGGAGCTGTTTTTTCTGTTTATTGTGTTTGATTTCGGTGATTTTTGAACAAGTGTTTGTCCCAGGGTTGAAATGAGGGAACATCTACATGCTTTTCACCTCCAACAGGGTGGGTTTCCTGTAGATGTTTATAGATTGATTCTTTTGTTTCAGGCTTTTAGGCCTCGTTCACTGGTTTCTTGCGTCAACTTAATGGCAAATATTGGAAAACATGCACATAGGGTTCTAATAATCATGAGTGCTATCGTTTGCTTACGCTGATTGTTGGTTTGCCTTGTGGCTGAATTTCATGTGCACAGAATGTTTGGGGATATTTTGCAGGTTCCTGATCAAATCGCCAGGAGAAGCAGCTCGTGGATGACATGATGGTGGGCACCTGGGATGGTGAGTCACAAAATGAATGATTAAAGATGTACTGTATATAAACAAAAGCAATAAGACGTACAAAAACTATCTCCACAAACCTGTGAAACAACTGGGAATTCATGCATGTCAACGGTGCATCCTGTCCATCTCGTGATTTAAGGCCTTGGCTCCAGCTTCTCGGCCTTGCGACAGCCGATGGACGCCGAGGTGGACGTGCTCGAGGCCGTGCTACGTGCGGGCGTCAGCGCGGCAGATGCCGATGCCAACGCACGAGGGGAACTGTGTGTGGTGCATGCGCTCGCCTCCGTGTTGGTTGCTTGGAAGTGTCCATGATCGAAAGCGTGTTTGTACAAAGGGGGCTTGCTCAGCTTCCACTTGGCGGTTTGAGGGAGGGTCACATCTTGGAAGAGATTTGACCCTCCATCTCACTGACATGGAAGTGGAAAACAATCCCAACAGCTTTCCGCTTTCCATGTGTGTGGGGATGGTGGTCTTCCATACACCGTGGGGTTGCTGCTGCTAAGGAGATAGCAGTGGAAGAAGGACCAGTTTCAGGCGGCCGTTTCCCCAATCAACTTCAGGGTGACTCCATCAACTTTGGGGTGACGATTGGCTGTTTTGGCAGCGTTGCTTTTCCCTCCATTGATGGACACTCACCAGGGATGCAAAGACAGGGGATGGTCTTGTTAAACTGTTAGTAATTGAGTTTGTTGATGCCAGCTGATGATGAAGGTGTGTACTTTAAGAAGTTTAAAGTTTTAAGAATTGCACCATGTATCGAAGCCCATTCTGGATCATATTGATCAGGAATATATATATATATACATATTCTGGTCTATGTTGCGCATTGGTATATATGTCTTAGTTACTGGTTGTATTCCTTTTTCAATTTGAGACGGTACAGGCTTCAAGAGGTCAAGCTAAGTACGTTTCTCAGTCCTTGATATCATATCATATCAGGCATAACGGTAGTGACCCGAATGTCTTTGTCCCAAGGCCGGTACTCGCGATGTGCCCTTCCCCTTGGCCTGTCGTGTTCTACTTCCATTAGTCCTACGTGCTTGGGCCGAGCATTCCGAGCTTTGCGAGCCTCAAGTGACCTCCCTCAGCGCCATCGCCTCAGCTCTCCTGGGCACCCCGCAGCTCTCAGCTGCGACGGCCGCGACGGCCCTGCTGCGCCTGGCGGACTGGATCGACGGCGCTTGCTCCGCCGGCGGCCTGGCACCGCAGCTGCCCACAGACGCGGAGGAGTGCGCCGCCTCCGCGGCCGCGCTGCTGGCGATGCACACGGAGGAGGCGCCGGTGGCGCAGCAGCGGCCGAGGCCCAGCTGGGTGGAGCCGGAGGCCTTGACGAAGATCTTCCGGAACGCGCTGGAAGAAAAGGGTGGGGCGTTGAGTGGGGGAGATGGATGGCGGCTGGCGTGATTGGAGGGGAAGATGGAAGCTGACTTTGACAAAAGATGGACGAGGGATGATTGCCCATGTGGAAGGTTTGGAATGTTTCTTGCAACTTGTGTGTCTATCCGCAGGCTGTTGCCTCAACCATTCGACGACAAAAAGGATGAAAAAGGTCACATTTCGTTCGACCAAGGGCCAGCGATGGATGACAAAGCAGTCCATTGTTTGTAATTAGTCGATAGCAGACCTGCGAGAACTGATCAAAATGGGTTGCTTGCCCCTACCACTTTGCCTCCCTGCCTGTAGCTGTTGATCCACATTTCCGCGAAGCCCCACTTGTGTCCAAATCTGGTGCTTCTCCTTGCCGCCATGCACTCACCCCCAAGAAAAAGAGAAACACACAGTCCATAATATCATGCCCAGACGCTCCAAACAGCCCTTGGTCCCTCCATGTGAGGGTCCAGGAGCGTTTGGGCATCATCACATTCCATTCCAATCCCTGTTTTGAGCATTGCACTCCTGATGGCGCTTCGCACCAGTGTGGTGCCACGAGCTGACAGACCACCTGCAGCTTGGCGTGGACCAGGTTGCTCGGGCACCAACTTGAGGGATGATCTAAGCTGGGTTGATACATGTTGTATGATGAATGCTGTTTCCTCAGGTTGGATGTATGTTGGATGCTTGGATCTTCCCCCAGGTTTGTTACTTTGGATCGTTGGGATATCCAAGGCCAGTTGGGCTGTGAATTAAGGGGTCGAGAGCAACCTAGCAACCCATCCTGATCCATCTTGGTGGTGAGGAGTTTTTCCTTGATCGATTTGCTGGAAAACCCAGGCGTTCCTTGGATCCCAAGAACCAAATCACGACATCAAACAACACATGCTATTTGGGTGCTGGACATGGAGGATGTTCAGGGCTTTAAGAAGATCCGCTCCAAAACCCACTGTGATTTGGTTGAAGGTTACATATTGTTCAGAAAAGATACTGTAAAACATACAGTAATCAGTAAAATATCATGCCCATAGTATCAAGACTTGCTCAGATCCCACCCTCTCCTGGCTCTCAAGACTTGCAGTGTTGGATCGAAAAACGGAGAATCGACCGGCACCCGGTGAATCGACCGGAGCGCCTCCACGTCACCCACCCAGGTCATTCCGCCCTCCCTGCGCCGAGACGCAGCGCGAGACGTGGCCACACCAGTCCGCCCGCAGGGCGCGGCGGACGAGCCGCCGGCGAAGCGGGCGAAGCGACGGTGCGGAAGCTGGAAGATGATGGAAGATGTGGGAGGGAAGGATGATGAAAGATGTGTGGCCTTCAGAGGGGGATACATTGTAGGTAGAGGGAGCAAAGAAAGAAGCCGGCATGGTTTCTTTTTTGGGGGGGGAGATGGTAGGGAGCTGGGAGGACCTGGCAGGATAAGGTATACGGTATACAATTTGGTGGCATGGTCATTTCATTCTGTTGAAGAAGGCCAGGAGCTTCGGCTTCGCTTCTCCAAAGCACTTGATAGGGGATTTTGGTGTGTGTACACTCTGACGAACACATCACATGGAAGTGGATGGCACACCCTGTTGATAGAGGAAAGTAGTCTTCCAAGTGACCTAGATTCTAGACGATTCCCCTATCAAGTGATAGCCATCAAAGCTATCATCTACAGCTATCATCCCCTATCATCCCCTATCTAATCATCCCACACCTATCATCCCCTTAGTGACAGCCATCCACCTACCTATCAAGTGATGATTAGAGTGATGGCTGCGATGTCACCAGCGCGGAGAGACACATGGGATACGACGCGTATGTGTAGTGAAGACCAACCGGCACGTGGCGATCACAACGAAGACGCAAAGGGTTTGGGCTTACAATGGCTTACACCTCACATGGCAATTAGGAAGTACAGTTGTATTCGAGTGTTCAATATTCTTCAATGCCATTCCCCCAGTTTCCATGTCAGTTTTGCGGTGAATCTGTTCATTGGAGCTTCCCCATTGATGTCGCTAGATTAGATTGGTTTTAATGGAGAAATCGATACGACCTCAAAGAAAAGACCAATTGGGTTGTTGGGGTTGGAGTGTTGATCATGTTCCTCAATCTCAATGATGGCATCAACTCCATTGCAGCATCCCTGCTTGTAGATGATGTCCCTACGACTGCTTCCGTCATCGGCGGCCAGGAGGAGTGCGGCCGAAAAGCTGTTGGCGAGGGCCGAGCTGGAAGCGAAGTCCAGGACGGGCGAAGCCCGGCCCTCGCATCCCTCGCATCGTGCATCGGTGTGCATCGAACTCACCGATACATGTCACCCCAACGGCAAACGAAGGGTCTCCGTCAAACGGCAAGAAAGTCACATTTTTTCAGAAAGTTCATGGTTTGGGGGATGCCACACTTTGGGAGGATGAAAAGGATTGAAAAGGTCCGCGTTGACCATAGTGAGAAAGGGAGGAAGAAGAATTCCATTTGACCTCCATTTTTTACACAGGGGCTCCCACATGTGAGCTCATTTCATGGAAAATGCACTTGAATGTTTTCATATGTCTAGAAGTTGTTCATCCACGCGGAAGCCGCTGACGTCGTCCACCCCGCCACCGCGGTTTGCTGCCTTTGCTCTTTGCTGCCTATCTCAGGAGCACCGAGGTAGAGGCACCTCAATGGCCCGAGGCTGCTCTGCTGGGCCAGGAACTCTTCACCAAGGCCCTGGAGGCCTCCAAGGGATTCCAGGCGCGGAGCGGCCTTGGTGTTCAAAAGGATTTTGATTCATGGGCTGCATCTACCAAATTCTTTTGGGGGTGACTCAACTCGTTCCAATTCTTTCCGGAATACTGATGCTTTGCTCGCTTTGCTCCCTCACTTCTTTCTTCAACTATAGTCCTTCACCCAAGGCGCAACGGTCTGAACTGGAAGGATGCATGAGTTGGAGCCACCCACCCCTGCAGGTGGCTCCCCCAGTGGGGCGGCAAGCCGCGCTTCATTTGGCCTCCATGACCGGCTCGACTTTGAGGTAGCAGACGGGAAGAGGAGTGGCAAAGAACATCAAAGAATCGTGAACTCATTATGAGAACAGGGCAATGCATCTCGATCCGGAAGCAGCACGGCCTGTCTTAGGCAGCGCTGGATGAACTTCGAGAACTGATGATTCTTGGGACGTCCCGACGACCTTCACGTTTAATAAAAACCTGTCCATGTCGTTGGGGCCTTTGCAGCGCCGATAGCGTTTGAGGATGGCACAGAATGGCCGTTGCAGTAGATGACAACATATTCAAACCCTTACGTAAGTAGCAAGTCTGCAGGTGTCCCCACTTGGCACCTCATCATTTGGAGGTATCCAAAGAGCGGCCTCTCACGCAACTCCCACACCAGTGCATTGGTCTTCTCTTTTGAACGCCAAAGGTGCGAGAAAGCACAGCTATCTTGCAAGACCTTGATGTTTTGGTTGTTCGGTAGTAATGCAGACTCTTGACTCTCGATTAACTCAGAACACTCTTGCCAGAATTGGCCGTCAACAGAATGGCTTTGTATGCCAAGCTACTAAGCTACTGTTGTCCCTCACGTGGCAGGTTGGCTTGGTCGCTTGGGCTGTTGGACTCCTCGCCTGATTGGCAAGGGCTTTTCGAGGACGGCAGGATGGGGAGGCAGGAGTTTTCCAGCTCAAAGGCTGGCTCAAACGGGGGCAGAGTGTAGGCAAGGTCTCCAGCCCGACATTTTCGGGCAGGATTTGGCCTTGCACTCGGTCAAGAAGTACGTTAAGGCCAGCGGCCGAACGAATCCAGTTAGCCACATGCTAGTTGCAAATCAAACAAGTAAGCTAAAATTATATACAGAATATATCATGGTAGTCAAACAGGTCGCCGTCGGTGGACTCTTGGCTTATTCTGTTAATTTCTGTTCTTTGTAGGCTGCTTGCTACCCTGCACCACTTCAAACATGGGGGTGCTGCCAAATTTATGTTGTGTGTTTCTTCTTAATACAGCACGAACCTCTGCGGACAACTCGGATTTCGTTGGATTTTCACCACTGGTCGACTGACAGAAGATGATGTTGCCAGATCAAGCTTACAACGTCAGAACTGAATCTTGTGGTTGTTCCTAAGGAAACATCTGGAAACAGCGACTTCTTGCAGATCTCCGTGGATCCACCGTCCTCGCCCACCGCTCCCACCGCTCCCAAGCCAATCTGGATCCCTAGGAACCTTCCACTTCGCTCTACGGAGCGATGTGCCAAACATCCGACTCAACCTGCGTCGTTCCGGGATCCCAAATGGGGTTTGGTTCACTGGGACCTTCCACCTGGAGTTGCTTATCAAGCCCGGCGAGAAAGGTTGGAGATCAAATGGAAAGTGTTCAGATTTTTTTTTGGGTGGGTGACGGAGCTGGTGTTGGGTCTCTTTTTCGCGCCTTCCTGGCATGTCCGTGCCACACATCCGCGAGGAGAAACTGTTCGAGGCTCTTCAAGTCTCCAACTTGGGATTCCTCTCTCCGGATCTCCAGCGCCAATGGCGAAAGCCCAAGGCCCTGCGGTTCATCCTCGGCGGAGAATCAGTGGGTTGAGTGCTCGCCCAATGGTGGGCTGTTCCATCATGTAGCATCGCCATCCATCGCCTCTTTGTTCGTTGTTCAGAGCACCAGGGTTGGGGTCGTGCACATGCAGCGTTGCATGACAGACTGGTTGGAGTTTATCGGGCTCATCTCGAGGCCCCACGGGTCGTCTCCTTCAGGATCGATCTCCGTTTGGGTCGTTCGTGTCAGTTCGTCTAAGTGCCCAGCTGCCCAGCCATGTGTAAGTGCCAGAATCCCATGCTGGGTGAATGTCCATGAGATGTGCCTACTTGAATTTATCAAGATACCCTCCCGGAAATTATGATGGAAGTGGAACTGGCCCTTTGAACACCTTTTTAAATTACAAAGAGGTTGCTTTCCGCTTCCATGTGATTATTTCATATTATGTCAGGGGAGTGTAAGTAAGTATTATGCTAAGCATTTCTTCCTGAAACCATTTGGAACTGAAGCCCCGCTCCGAAGTCGGTGTACAGGCTGCGACTTCAGTCGTTTGGCCGTCGGGTCTCCCAAGCCGCCCTGGGGGCGTCCGGTGTACAGGCCTCCGTGTGGCAGCGCTTGCAACACTTAGCCTCATTGGATCGACTCCTGCTGGGCTTGTGGGCCGAGGAGCACGCTGTTCCTCATCCCTGTGCGCCTGGGCGGGGACGCCACCGGGTCGCCCATGGAGGGCCGTGGTGGATCTTGCTGTCCAAAGCTGACCTCGAAATTGCCTGATTTGCACATATGTGCACTACACACTGCAATGCTTGAAACCGGCTAGTTGTTTTTTCATTCAGGTTGACGTCGATTTCCGGTGTCTGCAAATCTTTTTGTAGCTGTCAAAGCTTCTCAGCGATCTTTTTAAGAAGAGGGAAACGTTGAAGGTGAAAATGTACGCTGAGGCCTAGAGGACTGTACGGTAGAGGCCTAGGGATCTCTTGTAATGAGGCTTGGGGAAAGGGAATCACACACACGCACGATGCATAATAGTGTTTGTTTTGCTATGTCCACCAGACCAATGGAGAAGGATGGAGCAGGGAAGGATACAATTGTTCTGTGAGTGCCCTAGAGCGAGACAAGTCACTGATTGTTCTCTTTACTCATGGAACCTTATTTTTAGAAACAAAAGATTGAACAGATTATCAGAGGTCCCCCGTATGAAAAATATAGGCGCGGCATTCTCATTAGAACATTCATAATGTCCGTCCATATCAATGTGTCAATGTGTTCCTCCTTTCATTGACAGCATAATATCGTGGCACTGGCCGTGGTCTTTCTCCCAGGAACTCTCCGAGCTTGCTGTCGAGCAATTTTTGCAGGACCCTTCCACGGCAGAGCCTCGGCCGCCGCCCTCGCCTGACCCTTGCTCCTTTCTGCGGGGCTCTCCGGGTCAGAGTGGTCATCATGTGGGGCGCTCGATGATGTTCCTACTCCAACCACTGAGAGTTTGGGTTTTGATGTGGAACTTCTATGAAATTCTTTGGTGAAAAACTACTGAGAGTTTTGAGGGGTCATCATCGCTTGAGTGGTCTTGAAAAGATTACAGGTGACTGAGGTTGATCTATAGAAGAGGGAACTATATGCAAGTCTCATGTGGTTTCTCCAGGTGTTTGTTCACGCGATAGGATGGGTTATAGATTCAATCGGTTCGCAGGAGGTGTACCAATTTGAGCGGATTCACATGGGTGTAAAAGATGACGGACCCCTGTGGACCCCTGCAAGTGTTGTTCTTGCCGAGTTTTCTTGGAGTATCTTGGAGTTTGCAGCTCGACAATGTTCGACATTTTGCCAACCTTTGATGTGAATATGTCAATCGTACCGATGCCCTTTTCTTCATGCCCCCAACAAAATAAGCCTCAAAGAAACACCAAACCTATGCCCAGCACCAAGCGATGCCCTGCTTCGCCTCACCCAGGACCACATCGCCCAGCTCTTCCAGAGCCCCGCGGCTGCGGACGCTGCCCGACGCCTGGGCCTGGCTCCGTCGAGGGCGAAGAAGACGGCGCGGAGTCAGAGGCCGTGCTGGGCGCTGCGGTGGCTGCGGGCGCGGTGGCTGGAAGGTGCATGCAGCTGGGCAGCTCAGATGGGGGGAAGAGGGAGGTTGATAGCTCAGAGAGGATTTTGAAAGGTATACGGGATATCCCCTGCAAAATTTCCTCTACAGATTCAAAGCACCCAGGTGCTCAAAATGACCATTACAGGGGATTACGGGATATGTGTATGGATTCCAGAAACTGTGAAATGATTGGAGTCCACTTCTTCAGACGAGATATAGATCGCAAGATGCTTTGTCTCGGGCCGAGACACTACTTCGCACTTTGACAGGGTATTCACGAAAGGTAGCCCTTTAGGGGATACCTTGAGTTTGTCTTGCGAAGCAAGTGTTGGGACGTCCGGGTCTAATAATTGACTCAATTCAAACCCCCCCCACCCCCCCCCCTCGAATTGATTTCTCAATACAGACCCCCGCCGGCCCCCCGCCCCCTTGGAATTGATTTTTCAATACAGACCCCCCCCCTAAATTCAATTCTCTCCTGGAGAACGTCTTCGTGAGCCTCTCATGATTTCAGGATAGTTGAAACTCTCTTGAACATTTAGAAAGAGTGCATATGAAATTCTAATCACGAAAGGTGTTCCCCGAGGGGATACATACCTAGAGTTTGTTTTGTGAAGCACGTCAATTCTCTCCTGGGGAGCGTCTTCGTGAGCCTCTTATGGTTTCAGGATAGTTCAAATCCTATGATGCTCCGATTCAATGCTCACCGATGATTTGATCCATGGGGCAAGTTTGTTTTCCTAAGAATCTTTTTGAACATTTCCAGAGCATATGATTGAACAATTAGAGTGCATATGAACATATATTTACGATTTACGAAAGGTCGCCTCCGAGGGGATAAATCACCATGTCGAACATTGCATGTTTGTTCCTGCCTCTCGCGTTCTCTTCTCTACCTTTCGTGGCCACTACTGGCGGAAGCCCGTTCTTTGCATCTTGCGCATGGCGCTTGGCAACTGATGTTGTGCATTGCTCACCTACATGCCCGGTTGAGACCCATGTTTGCCCTGTGGTTTGTTTCCTTTCTGTTTTTTGAGTTTCAATCTCTACTCGTGTTTTGGACAAATTCCACCAGCCAAGTGGCCGTGTTGCTTTTCATCCGGCAGCCCTTTGGCTGTTTTCCAATGCTTATCATCGATGTGTGCATGCTGATCCAGCCATGGACAGCAAGGGTTATAGACGGCCTTTGCAGCCGACCGGGTCGTGCCTACGGGTCTGGGAAAAGCTGACCAGATTCAGACGCGAGTTGAAGCACGAATCAAAGACACTTGGCCCCATCGCGAGATCTCCGGTGTGTGGTTTATTCCCTAGGGATCCAGTCGTACCTCCTCAAAAGGCACGACTGGACCCTCCAAACCCACCCCAAACACCTTCTCAGAGGGTACTTGGATCCTTTGGGATTGATGTTGTTTGGTTTGTTTGCTGCTTGGAAACTCCGACCCTTACGGAATTCGTATGATGGTTGGTGATGGTTGCTTTCAGCCATCCAAGAAAGTAGGGAGCCTTGGGTATCTTGAGTGTTGAACTCACATGGGAGGGTATAGGCTTCTGACCTTAGCTGCCTGGTTACTTACGTTTTGTGCGTTCGAACCTTGCGTTTTTAAAACTCACGTTTCGAGCCGTACGTTCCCACGTTTTGGAGCTCAGATGCGTTTTTGGAACTTCCTCATGCATAAACAGAAGAAGGCCATAGAACACAGAAACATCCCAAATGCATTTTCACATAGCCCTATAGCTTGGACACAAACAATTTCCAAATGCATTTCCAAGAGTGAGAGAAAAGCGTCCAGCAGTAGCCCATAGTTCGGACACAGAAAAGTCGCAAATGCATTTTCAAGGGCCAGAAAAATGCATCCAGTAGCACCCCATAGCCCTATAGCTTGGACACAAACAATGTCCAAATGCATTTCCAAGAGTGAGAGAAAAGCATCCAGCAGTAGCCCATAGTCATTAGTTTCTATTTTGGAGGACGAACATATTTCCGCAAAGTGGACCTCCAGACCACACAGATACATTTACCCGAGGACAGTAAATGCAGGTATTTGGATGGGGCCTGGACTTTGGGAGGGGGCTGCACGTTTTGGATTACACGTGCGGAACCTTACGTTTTACGTTTTGCGTACCGGGGCGCCTAAGCTTCTGACACTTCCGAAAATGACGGTGCATGTGCATCTGTTTGCTGAGTGGGGTCATTTCAATGAATGCCGAAAGGAAGGAGAACTGGCCCCTCAGGAGGCTACATGATGTACGCTTTCGCGTTTTCCTGGCGGCAGTGGATGAGGATCCATGTTGTTTCGAGAGCTACATCCTGCATGTGCGCCAAAAGCGCTTCCCAGACCAGGCAGACCAGAAACTGATGGCTGCAGATGCAGGTGGCTTGACCGGTCCAACTGAAACAACATTGACTCAACCTACCTGCTCATTTCCCGAGTAAAGAGTCTAAAGTTTAGGATCAGTATCACCTCTAGGCATTCCTTTTCCCTAGCCTTGTACTCCCTCAGGTGCTACGCCCTATCCGACCCCTGCGGCGAATGCCACGATCGCCGCGCTCTTCGACCTCCGCAGCATACGCAAGTGTCAGAGCTACGTGGTGAGCCTCTAAGGCCCTCGGACCTGCGGAGGGACCGAGTCGGCGCGCGACGATCGCCAGTTTGGGCGTCAGCGACTGTCCCATGACTGTCGCCATCCGAGGGAGTAGCGCATTGGTCAATGACCCTTAGATTAACATAGATCAACTGCAGTTTCTTGGTGCAGGTTGAAATCAGTACTCATCATCATAACATGTGATTGGCGGAGGTTGGGACATGCGCAAGCTCCATGTAGAACAGTCTAGCTGCATGGGCAGTCCATTTTTGCAAGGGATACTATCCTTGATCAGGTGCGCAGTCTTGCTCCGCAGATGACTCGGGTCCCCTGAGTCCAAAAGCCGGCCTCTCACGCAGAGCTCGAGCCCCCTTCAGATTGCCTTTGAAATGCATTGCATTTTAACGCAATTTTTGCGCAAATTTGCGCACGTACGTGTTTCAATTCGAGATTCCTTGGAATAGCGTTCACCCAGGTTTGGAGCAGGTGTTTGCCAGTGATTGCATATTTGATAGTATAGTATGTGTGTATATAATTGTATATATACTTTGGACAGAGAGCCAGCAGCCATGGGTTCGCTATTTTGAGCACCTCCATCCTCGCAATGTCCTGCAAAAAAGAACGAGAGAGAGAGAGAGAGAGCTCTTTTTGAGCCAGCAGCCAATCTGAGTTGGACAGAAGATGGATATATACTTGACGGGTTGCCCAGCAACCCTGCAAGTCACGATCCGTAGATTGCTCCCTCCAGCCAGGCGGACGATGTCTTTAGCCCCCAAACACGCACAAGAATACCAAAGACATTGGAGGCTTGAGTCTGGAGGTGTTTTGGTTTCATGATGTATCATGCTTTGTTGGTTCTGGTCTCACTCATCCAGAAGTAGTCGAACCCACTCCACCCACTGGAACGCTTGAACAGATTCTGATCCATATATTGTGATGTCATATTGAATTGGTGATTGGTCAGAGTTTGAGACCCAATTCCCAATTCCCAACACTTGTGGTTTCCTGTTGGTTGATGTTGAATGTGTTGTTCTTTTACTTCCAGGGTCCTTGAGCTCCAAGGTGGATGCACCCACCGGGCTCGTTGCTAGTTCTCAGAAGACACCCAGCCCCTCAGGCCACACCCAGCTCGCAGATGCTCAGCTGGTCTTCTCCAAACCCCCAACCACCCCAAAACCCGGCTCCCACGTCGACCGTCCAGCGAAAAAACCGGTCCTTTTTTTTCCGAGGCCTGGTGAAAGCTGAAGGATGTAGCCGAAAACAGATGCTCAGATATGTGACCCATTGGCAGCTGGTGGGGCGTGATGTCACTGCACGTTACCTCGCCTTCGTCGCTCGGGCGACCGGTGCGTTGGGGGGGGCGGTGGGAGGGGCCGGCGTTGGGGGGAATTCAGAGAAGTTGAGGGTCTCAGAAGTAGACCAGGATTGACGGGGCTCCAAGAACGTGAAGGGCAGTCTCACCGGGTGTGCCCAAAGTTTCAAAGTGAGTGTTTTCTCCTGAAGGCCAGTCAAGGACCATGGTCTAAGCAAGGTTCCACTATGCATCATCGCAAGAGTTGGAGCAGGCAGGGAAATAGACTGTAGACTGTAGACCATATAGATATAGTAATATAAAGTGATTATACTATAGTTATATAACATCTTCTCTTTGGACCACTGTCACCAAAGCGACCAGCAACATTTCAAGGCTTTGAGGTGGCCCCAAAAGGACCAGAAATCTCTTCAACGCTGTTGGAAACGCCGCAGTGGAGGGTCACCCCAAAAGCCACCAGGAGTATGTCACAAGAGACCGAAAAAGAGACCTTGGTCTTGTATGTTCTAGGGTCTTCGTGGTTTGTGGTGCTTGGCGACCAGGTAAAACATACCTTGCCAAAACTCCAGGTACAATATCACTACACTTTGCACCCTCTTTGCACCCTCCTCCCTCGACCCTTCCGGTCCGAACCCTTCGGATGTCCGACGCACGGAGGTCATCCCGAGCCCAAAGGTCCTGTGACTTGGAGCCGATCGTGGACCGAAGGGCGAACGGCGACCGAAGGACCTCGGGTTCGACCGGGCGAAGAATGGGGTTAAGTCGTTGAGAATTTGGGGATGGCGGTTCGAGATGAGTAGCTTCGAACATTTTTGGGGATGACCTGGGGGATATATAAAGGCATCCGGGTGCCATGACCCACAGCCATATGAATTCCCTATGACTCCCCAAGCGGTATCCTGTGGCTGCTGGTGATGTCGCCCGTGGTTGCTGCCGTATCTGACAGGAGGTCTCCTTTTGTTTCCCCAAAGATGAATCAGATCCCTGACCCTTTCAGTTTCAGGATTGGAGCACACAGAACATGTTCACCTCAAGTGGGCTAGCCAAAGCCATTTGTGTTCATTCGAGGCTATGTGGTCCAGTTGGAAGAGGGTTGGGGGGGGGGGCCAAAGGAGTACTCCTACCACCTAAACAGGCACATAGACAAGAACCCATCCAGATATATCCAGATCAGTTTAACGCAAACACTTGCACTGGTGGTCTGGTCCTATACAGCCTGGAGTTTGCCCAAACATACAACTGCGTGATTTGCTTCTATAGACAACCCAGGTTGCTTTTTCTAACGAATTCCCACGAGTATGCCAAGCAATTTGGTTGCTTCATGCCAATTGTATCAAACACCTGCAAACCACTTGCTCCCCATGGAAGCTTGCAATACGTTCATGATATCGGATGAGCCGAGAATCCGCAAGGCGAGAAATCCAGAAGCGCTGTGGCAGTGGCGGTTTGGTGGAGCTTGGGGCACCTTGGAAGAGAAGTCCTGGAGTCTTCAGATGAGGACCGAAAGCTCCGAGCCATTCGTTGCTGATTTCAGCTTCACCCGGACTTCGGACGGCCTCGGAATTGGAGCGAAGTCTCCAGAAGTGAGGCCAAGCCAAGCCCAAGCAATAAGCCAGATCATCTCATGAAGACTCACTTCCTATGAAAGAGTCTTAGAAGTGAAGTCTTAGAAGTGCTTCTATATGAGTCTTAGAAGTGAAGTCTTAAGCCATCTCATGAAGACTCACAGTTATCTAGACTTCATATTGCGCCACTTCCTCACGACACTTCCTCGCTGTACTTGCCCAACAGGTGTTCAAGCATTTCCACGCCTTATCCAATTTGAGTCACTGTGGGTAGCACTCTGACAGGGAGACACGTCGACATATTGAACACTGTGTAGATCTTTGGCTCAACTTCCAAGCTCGATAGTTTGAAGCTACTTGCTTTCTGTGTCACATCCACCGAACCATGCGGTAATCGTGCGATGCTCCGAAAAATCATCTTTATATACTGTAACTTTGCAGGCACGAAAGATGGCACCTTTGCAAAGGAATTGTTGCCCTTGAGAAGGACATCTCAAAGGTTCATCAATGAACCCCCAAGATGAAATTGACCATTGATGGCTCCCTGGATCCTTGGTCATTGATCCTTGCACGTCCAATGACCTGTACTGGACAGCCCAATCCGTTCGCCGCCAGGTCTTTCCACTCGCCCCAATCACCCCGTCCGACCCGGACTGGCGAGGCTGGCATGGGCTACTGGTCGCACTTGCTGGCGAACTCCGGCGTGGAGGTGGTCGCCTTGGATGTGGATCCACCGGAGAAGTCCAGGTTCAAGGCGGGGGCGGCATGGAGAACGACAGGGCATGGAGCGTGTCCAGACACGATTTGGCAGGAAAAACGGGTTGGTTGTTGGGGATTGCGCGCCCGATTGCCATGGGGAAGACGATGGAAACAAACGAGTGGTTTTTGGATCCGCGCTGCGCGGTGGGTGAACCCACCGGGGTCAGCTGGCGATCCGAGACATGTGTGAACCGGGAGCTTCCCGGCCTTGGGCCCATGCCATTCGTGGAGAGTGAGATGAAGGACGATGTTGATGAGGACAACCAGAATTCTGATCGTGTTCTGTGTTAGTCGGCTGAAGTTGATGGTGAAGAAGACGCCAAGTGGCTCAGTGGGGCCAGCTGGTCTTGATAGTGAAGTCCTGATCGAAAGACCTTCCGTCATCATCAATCGCTGGGTTTCCTGTTTGGATGTTTTATATTTTTTCTCCCACAAGCCTTTAAGCCTTTTGTTGAGTCCCCTGTTGTTTCTTTTGTGCTTAAGTAATTATTTATACTATATTGTATTACATATATATATATAGGAGTAATATAGAAATTTTATGCATTCTTCAAGATATGAGCTCTCTGGGTAATTGTGATCACAACACAAGCCAGTTCTGGGACTCCATCCCACACCGGCCTCACAGGTTCAGCTGGGCGACGTGCCTCGGTGGTGAGAGTCGGACGACAGGGACGTGTCCGACAGACGTGTCGATGGGTTTGGGCACCGAAGAAGCATGCTCCCTTCTCGCCTCCTCGGGTGCTCATAACTTATAACATTAAAAAAAAGTATATAATATACACATTACAATATAGCAATTGAAAGTTTGTTCATTGAGTTCATATCAATTGAAATTCATATACAGGAATTCGGAATATCATGCATTGCTGCTGTTATATTGTCTTATCCCATTCTATCCTTTGCATGTCCGCGATAGACTTCTGTTGCACGATGTGTCCAGCGATGGTCCCATTGCCGTTTAGTAGGGCCTTTGGTGTCCGGGAGCGGTGCAGCGCTTTTTCAAGCGACTGGGGCACTGACTGGGACGATGAACGTGAGACGTCTGGTTGGTTCATGAATGCACAGAAAAACGCACCGAAGAACCGCCGTGAAAAGACCAAAGTGAAACCAAAGACCATGGATCGTTGGAATGCAAAGGAGAATCTCCCAACGTTTTTGTACCACCAAACATGGACCCCTCGAGCGACGAGCACTTTTTCCGAGACGAGCGTGGGTTCATACCGGCTGGTTGACATCCCCGGATCAGAGGGGAATCTGTTCGATCCGGGATCAGGTGTTTCCCGGTGACCCGCTTCCGTTCAGATCTGAACTGATTTGAGTACTCACCCGCGCCACACCCACGCTGGGCGTGTTTCCGGTCACCGCTGGGAGTTGATCAACCAAAGTCAGGCGAGTTCCCTGCCAAAGTTGCAGAGGCGCGCTTGGCTGCTGGGATGGCCTTGTGAGAAGAATTCAAGAAGTCTAAGTTCTTACGAATCCACCATCCGGGATTTGATTGAAGCAATCGGGAGGCAAATGCTGAAAAGACACCAGAAACCATTGCAGGATGGTAGGCCGGGGGGTTACTCTTGTCCTACCCTACCATTGTACATTGGGTCTTCAACTGCTGCATATTCACCCAAATATTTTACCCTTGTGTTTGCAAAATTTCAAAGTACATTGGTTTATATTGGTTTTTGATTGTTCATCAATCTTTCTAGCATGTTGTGTTGACCGTTGGATCTGCGAGCCTCGACGTCGAGATTGGGCTAAACGTGTTGTATCTAAATACGGGCACACCATGTTTCTTGACCATCACCATCACGAACAGAAATTCTTGCCCAGACGCAACCTGATTTTGCATCGGTCGTTCCTATTTATTGGGACGGGGTACGTCCGCACGTTGACTTTGGAAGGATGAAATGGTAGTTCCACAGAATCGGGTTGGTCCCCCCAGCCGACTGCACAGGAATCAAATGCAGATTTCATCAGTGAACGCTTCGACGGTTTTTTGATGTTTTGTGTTTTCACGCTTCGAGCACTGCACTGCAGAACAGTACATCTCCCCATAATTGACCAACCTTTCGTCCAACTACTTGGTTTTGGTTCACTTGCCAATCGTGGTGTATGTTTAATTGATTTGTTTGACAAGTAAGGTAGTAGAGAGACTCTACGCTGAAAAGCGCGGGTTGGGCGTCCTAGAGATATTTGGGGTGGTTGTGTTCTTCAGGTCTGAGTCATGACCTCAGTCCCATAATCATCAGTGGGCGTTCGTCATCACTGTCAATTCTCCTACGAGCAGCCTTCCAAGCCTTTTATATAGGTCCTAGTACTTTCAAGCACCCAGGCGTACTTCAAGTATCACTATCAGCTATCAAATACCATGACTCATCCATTTCCTACAGCCTCCACCCACTGCCTTGTTCAAGAAATCCCCAGTCCGGCTGAGGGGTCGCCCCCTCAGCCATCCCCACTTCCCAACTTCCGAATGCGACTCCGTACAGGGAACTGCTGCTCCTTTGCATGCCTCCTCCGGGTGAAGCTGCCTGTGCCGATGAAGCGCTGCGACACTTCACCGGCCGAGCCTCGGAGCGAAACCGGCGGCTTCACCGTTGCGGACCCGGGCGTTGGTGAAGACGGGCCATGCAACAGGTCGGTACCGGGGTTGGACTGAAGAGGGTTTGTAACGAAGGTGCTCGGTACAAGTAGATTGTTTGATCGATTAAACTATAGCACGATTCAGCTGCAATTGTCTTTTGTTGTGTTTTCTGTTGGCTTGAAACCTTGACTGGGAACATGAAAGAAATGAAAGGGAGTGAGGGAGGTCCCCTTTGTCAGTTGCAAAAGGGCTCATAAAGTCCAGATCCTATTGCCAGCAGCTTTAAGACCAGCTTCTGGGGTGGGAGCAAGGCACTGCAGCGAGCTGCACTCCCAGCCGCCTGCCCCTGCGATGAGCGCTGCACACACCACCCCGCGTGACCCCAAAAGGCCCGCTTGGACAAGAAGAAAACTTTGGACATTTCTTGTTGACAGATGTCCTCCACCTTCAATTTCTGGGAGCTGGAGGCACTAAGGTTGCATTTCACATATGGTTGCGAGGTGCCGGAAGAAAAGGATATACTGTAGGATGTTGACAGGTCATCTCAACCTCCGACAACTGGTATGCATTTATATGCAAGTTCAAAGCCAAAGGGTGTAGTAGATTCCAGGGGCACATCAGGAAACTATTGTTCTGTTTCACCAGTTTGAACTGGGTTGCGACCTCTCAAATTTCGCTGGTCAAGGATATGTCGTCTATATCGGCGAGTGGTATAGCGGAATGACTGCAACACGGTCCTTCCACGAGTCTTTATGGGCCAACTATGACCTGGAGCTACGATTGCCGCTCCCCTGCTATCCCATGCTGCGACTGGAATGCTTCATTTTTCGCGTGCGGTCGGTCAAGACGACCAAGCGGGCGCGGAAGAAGGAGGCGGAAGAGGTGACGACGGAGGCCAACTGTGCCTGGCCGTGAGATGGAGTTGAAATGAGATAGGGCCGACAGATAGTCAAGGGGCTCATGTTGTGGGCACTTGCATGAGAAACCACCTAGAATTTCAGAAGTTGGCAGTTCCAAAGGCAAGCACAAACTGTATTAATTAAAAAAAATAACAACGATAATTTCTTGGACCATCGCACCTTCCCGAGATTCGCTTGTGGTTTTGCCTGAGGGCTGACCTGACAGCGCTGCTAACCCCATCGCACTCCCCCCATCCTCTAAGGGCTTCTCACCTGCGACCACTGCAGCTTCTGTGGACCCTTGCGCTGTTGCCCTACCACGCGCTACTGGCGGCTTTGTTCAGAAAGCTGCTATGAGGCCATGAAGGCTTGCAGAGGGCGTGTTGAAGGGGATCTGAAGCAAATTTGTCCACATTGTGTCCGCATGTTTCTGGATGTGTGAAATGTGTATCAGATTACTGTATATCAGTATGCCTATATATAGGCACAAAGATGCACAAAGACAATTCAAAGACGGCTAGATTCTGGAGAGAGAGAGAGAGGGAGGCACATAGACAGGTCCTCTTTTGTCGAGGCTAACTTCTTGAACAGCTTTGATTCGTGCTCATGTGTGGAAACCCAACAATCCCAACTAAGAGTGGTACATGTTCCTTATGTTTGAAACTTCAAGAGCCCTTCAAAATCCCCATTACAGTACTTGACAACTGGCCCTTTCCTCCAGCGAAAAGACTTGCTCTGAGGCTGAACAGGAGGCGTTCTTGAAGCTGCAAAACTGTGGTCTTGAGTTGCTCGGCTGGCAGTGGCCTGTTCGGGGAATGGATCCAAGGCATGGAATCGCAGAAGTTGAAGATTCGCGGATCTAAATACTAAAGAGCATGCTCATGTTCCAAACCAGAAACACTGTGAAGATCTTTTCCAGCGAAGGCCGCAGAAGAGCATCAGGACAATGCAAAGGGCTAAACCCTAGAGTGGCCTGGTGGCCACCTTACCTTCGGACACATTCTATCTCCCTTAGTTTTGCTTGATTCTTTGCTGCACTCTTTGTCTTCAGGGGCTAGACCCCTTTTGCTGGGCGCCCGGCCGTGGAGACCATCGATCTTTAGATCCTTTCGTCCATGGCCTTGGTCTTGCTTTGGTGGTCCATCAATCATCCCACCGTCAGGGGCTGGGACATCCATAGGCCAAACTTGTCATCCGGTGACCTGGTTTCCCCTTTGTGTCATCCAGTGACCTGGTTTCCCCAATGCCACAAAAAAAGAGATCGGAGCACTGCCCCAAGGCCGGAGGTCCCTCGCTGGGACTGGTGGGAAGAGCAAGCCTGGATTGATGACACCTCAACGATGCTGGGCTTTATGAGTGGAAAAGGTCCCACCTTCCCAGCCCGATGAGGGCTAAGAAGCCATGAGGCCGGACTTGAAGCTTCTTCTTCCCCTCCTAGCCCTCCTAGGCCATGAGGTTCGACTCTTCCCCAGGCTGCATGCTTTAGGAAGGGAGGGCAGTGTCATATATGGGTCAATGAGAAAAGATAGGCCCCGGCAAATTGAGGGGGTCATGATATGTCGTGAATTGTTCCCACAGAGTTTCCCATGCTCTCGCATCTGAGGAAGCAGTGGGCCAAGCTGAAACGAGCGACGCCACAGTCGGAGATCGAAGGGTGGAGAACAAAAAGACTCGGTTGCAGACCAACCTGCTTTGCTTGCGAAACCAGGGGCACAACCCCCATCTAAACCCAAAACGCTGGGAATTGATGACGACCTCGACTGAAGATCCTGCATGAAATCAATGGATTGAAGAGTTGCTGAGGTCTCCTCGGCACTCCCTATAGGTATCAAAGCTTTCCTGGGCCTTGATTTGACCCGTATGTTAGGCTGATACGACAACCCTCACCAAGGGTATTCTTGCGGTGAATTGGGGGGTTTGCACAAATTACTGTAGAAGAACGCATGTTGTTTGCCATGTTTTGTCGTGGGCATGGGTCATCAAAAATACACGGACGGTCTGTTGAAAGGGAGCGAGAAAGAAGACAAGCTTTTCCACCCTTTCCGCCAGGCCACCTGGCAATGACGACATGGCCACAGCCTTTGAAGTTGGCGTTGAGTCAAGAAGTTGTGCCGTCAAGAAGTTCTGGCCGTCAAGAAGTTGTCTTTGTGAAGTTTTGGTGTCTCCAAAACGTTTGGGACCGTTTGGTAGTTTGGGACGTTTGTTTTGATCAATCAATCTGCAATCGACTTGAATGGTTATCTTCCAATCACATTTTGGGATTTGACACATAAAGTGACCGTGATTCCAATCTTGAATGATAATCACATATCCTATATAGCCCCAAATAGATAGAAACGGTATCCAATACATTGTTAGTGGGGATCCACTTGTCTATCTATTTGGCTGATACTATGTAGGCTCAAGTGTTTCGAGTGCCAACGCTGTCTCGCAAGTCAGTCCTTCCTCACCCACCGAGCTGCTGCTGGTTTTGTTCGGAGAAAAAGGTGTGCTGGACCCGTCATGGTAGCACCGTTTAGAGCTGGCGGAATCTGGCGTAGGGCCCAAAAACGGGGTGTGCATCTATAGGAGCGTGCATCTAGGGAGAGAGATGAGAGGTTGAACAGCCCTATAGTAGCCTATAGCCCATCCCAAATATGTTCCAGTACAGGGTCCTAGTTCAGGTCTCTCAACCTCCCTTGGAATGGATTGGTCAATGTGTGGGGAACCCACTCAGTCACCGGGCTCTGTCTCGAGACACCGAGGATGCTGATACATGCTGATACTCATCGGGCCGACTTGGAGTATGGAAGCTGGTTTTGGGTGCCGACTTTCTTTGTGTAATATACATTTGGCACCGGCATGCGAATGACATCAATCATGAATCATGAATCATAATATTCATCTATAGCTTGGCTCATTCGTTCGGCGGCCGTTCCCTGCGGTTGGAAGGATAGGTCGTCTTGCCGTTCCCTGCGGTTCAAGGCTCAAGAGTTGGATAGTGTTCGAAGCCACCAGGTTCTCGACCTGTCTGACCCCTCAAAAGGCCATAAGAGTAAGAACTGCCCTGAAGCAGACAAGGAGCAAGGCCAGAAAGAGTACAGAGCGAGAAGACACAATCCACGAACGTGGCATGTGGCGTCCAAGACGGCCACGCAACGTCCCCAAGACAGTCTTCATCAGCCTGCACTTCTTCCAAAAAAAGAAACGACGACCGCCCCTCCAATGAGACATCGCGACCAGACGAGACGAGACATGCGCCAAGGACAGCTCGACCGACCGCGTTTTCTGAACTCGTCGACAGACGGACACACCAGCAGTCGCCATGGTGCAAGTGACCACCTTGGCAGGCGACTCTTGGAGTTTCCCAGCACAAGAGGGCTGGACTCTGAGGGATCTCAAGGAGAGTTTTTGTTTGACAAAATCGAAGAGCTGCACTCGGTTTGGCAGGAAAAAATACGAAAAATACACGTTTTTCTTCTATTGTCTTCTGATGTTTCTTGGCCCCCTTGTGGCCTTTTGAGGGGTTCTTCTTTGTCAGGGTGAAGCATTTTCTACACTCTACACCAGCACCCGTTTCACATCATACCTGAGGCCCATAAAATCATACCAGAGGTGCTGGTGGCGTTTGTGCACTGAACAGTCATGTTGGCAGTGTTGACCGGTGGCTCACGATCGTTAAGTTGTAGCAGCTCTTCTACTTGGTGCTACGGTTTGCTTAGCGCAATGTGCTTCTATTCGTGTAGAACGGAACTGCTTCGAGGTTAGTCTTTCTGCGCCTTGGACGTTGAATTGAAGTTATATATATAGAAGCTCTTGCCTTGCTGTCATTGGATGTTGTTCCTTCCCATTGCCTCCTGCCATCTCTCCTGCCATTGACTTCCAACGTTGTCATGGCGCTGGCAAAGTTGTAGAATCAAGAGTGGTTTTCCCACCGCGCGAATAGCAGAGAGAATGTCCTGCAAACCAAACGTGCCTTCGATTCAGAGCAAATCATCCAGTCATGCAGGATGCAGTGAAGCAAGAGACGGGCATTCGCATGCGCGAGCAGCGCTTCATCGATGGCACACGAGAGCTTCAAGAGGATGAGCCGCTCAAAGATCAACTGCACCTCACACTGATCAGACGTCCTACGGAACAGGTGGGAGAACGCAGGTTTCATATTCCCTAGATATCCCCTAGATCAGCCATGGGTTACTATGTTAAAGTTCGCAGGGTGCATGTCATGGAAGCCTGCTTAACTACCAGTATACTGCATCGAAGCCTACTCTAGGGAACCGCCTGTGTGGCAACATGTCATGCTGTTTGAATGGGGTTCTCTCATTCTAATTTGCCCCTGTCCAAGACGGAATGACGCCTTGAAAGGCCTTCTCTTCGTCAGGTGCTGCTTCTGCAGGCTTTGGAGGATTCCCATCATCCGAAGCTCGGTGCTTCAGGGGCCGAGGGAGGGACTGTTCACGTCAATGAGCTTTTTCATGTGGAAAGGCTGAAAACGACTGTGCATGGATCGGATCAAGAACTTTAGTTGTTTCTTTCTCGTGCCCTTTTTCTTTTTGCTGTGTGTTATGTTTGCTATTGTCGTTGTAAGCCAACAAACTTCTAAGCTCCCCAGAACGTCCGCACAGCTACGAACGACCCCAGACGTCCACATTACTATCCACATCGTCAAACGGGCTTGCGAAGCTTCGAAATATGGGTATTGTGGTGCCTTTGGAACTTGCGATCTTGGTACAGACTTCTAATTCGACCCATCCAGTGCTCTGGACTCCTCCAGGCTCCTCCATCGCTCCTTGCGCATCCCGCGCACCTCCGCGCGCAGGGAACGTGTTTTGCGCCGGGCACCCGAGCAGTTCTTGGCAGATTGGGAGGTTCTGCTGACAGCCACTGCGCGCGAGGCGTCCTGTATTTGCTTAGCTGAGAAGTCGTTGCAGGGGAACCTTGGCCGAGAACATGCGGTTTTGGGGGCGGAGGGGAGACGCTGGCTGCACAGAGCCCAATGGAAGGCAAAAGAGGTGGCGTTAAAGAATGCAATTTGGGCAACAGAGGTGTTGCTGCGCTTGGGGTGTATTTCCAGTTGACTGAAACCACATCATTAACAAGAATACCCGCAGCCATCAAGCAGCATCAACTCAATCGGGGTTGCAAGACGTTCCTGAAGGATCACCCTACAAAAAGAAGCACAGAGAAACCATGTTCGTGCAGACATGTGCACACTTTCCATACCAGGCCCTATGTATCCCGCCCTGGAAAAATGGTTGGGCCCATCGAGGAGTTGTTAAAGGGTCCAGCATCAACATGTCCATGTTGGGTCCTTCCGAGTCATATTCAAGGTGGCTCTATCTAGAATGAAACCATTTAGGCCCGTAATTATTACGTGGGGTCCTAGGGACTTGGAAGAAGTCATTTTGTGAAGGTGTGTTTGTGTGTGTGTGTGTGTGTCAAGCCCCGTGCCTAAGGGTTTGGAGTTTTCTTTCACTGACTGTAAGCAGGGGCGTGCACGCAACGAAGCTATGATCACAGATGGGAAGGGATCAAAGACGCTTGATCCTGTACCTGCTTTAACACATCGGCACCACTGGTCCGCCCTTCCGCCGGTTTTTTTCATTTTCATGGTGGTTCTTATGCTACTTTCCCCAAACCTTTTCCCCCTCACGTATTTCCCGCGGAATTGCAGCAGCCTCTTCTGTTCGAACACCTTTACATCGACCGACCCAGCGACCTTGCCGTTCGTGCACCCCTTTCTCTGTGGGTTCTGATACTGGATGAAACCTTATCTCAGTGTGTGTGCGTGTGTTTTGGGTGAAGCATTCTGATCGCCAAACTTTCTAGGAAGGTGAACATTCCCCACTAGGTGAGAATAGGGTCTCCTTCCAACCGTTGAGTCTGTGAGTGATGTTGAGATGTACAGATTGAATTGCCCATGTGCATCATGTGTTGTTCAGCAACGGTCTACACTGAGAACCGTGGTATATTGCCAGTGTTTTTCGTTCAGGTGATGAGACCAACAACGGAGAGGAGGTTTAATTTGTGGAGGTCCAGAGATCCCACGGGAGTGGCGTTTCTTGAAAGTCCAGGGACACCGTCCAGAGATCAGTCCATGGTGCTGTCCCTGGGAAAGAAGTTTTGATACCAAAGACTTTCGCTTTGTGCGCCGCCCAACCACGACCCTGCGCTTCTTCTCTCAGGTCGCCAGACTTCATCCTGGCAGTGTTGAAAAGGAATGGACTCTGGGCAGATCGGATCGAGCGGACCCCCACAAGCGAAAGTGCCACTCACTTGTGGCACCTATAGGGAACC